TGTTTCCTGGGACGGGTACCCATGAGCTCCATGCGGGAATGCCTGGGTCAACCAATTGATCACAAATTCCCACGAAGTCTCTCTAAACGGTAAAATTGGTCCTCCTGAGAGCATAATTTGACGTCTTCGAGGTTTCCGAGGGAATTTGTGATCAATTGGTTGAGCCAGTCATTCCCGCATGGAGCTCATGGGTACCTGTCTTAGGAACGATGTCGAAATGGGGTCGTCATAAGGCCATCTGAGCAACCACAGCCGTCCGCCGTCAAGCATGCTCACAGTCGCGAGTGGCGAGCGCCGCACACAGCACTGCTCGTGCCGCGATCACGAGAGACGCGTCCGTCACAAGCACATCTAGCGTGTCCTTTGATGCTGTCTGTGGTTCCCGGGTAGCCTCGGGCGGCAAGGGCGAGCTCAGGCGCGACACACAGCGCGGAACGTCGACCACGCCTAAACTTTCGCGGCAAGAGTTGGCTACCATGAGTCTGGTGTGAGTCCGACCGACGAACAGCCGACCGGCCATGGCAGGCCGCACAGCCGCTGAGATGTCTCGGCAGGATACGGTTACGGCCGTGCAGCAGGACGGCTTGGCGCTCGAGCACGCCGCGGCATCGCATCGCTCTGATCGCGAACTCGTGCTGTCGGCCGTGCAGCAGAACGGCTTGGCACTCAAGTACGCTTCAAAGGCAATGCGCATGGATCACGATATTGTCCTGGCGGCTACGAAGCAGAACGGAGCAGCGCTGCAGTTTGCTGCGGGTGAGTTCAAATGCGCTCCAGCTCATCCAGTCCAGCGCGTGCTGGCGGCTGCACTGCACTACACGCAGGCTGAGCTCATCCAGTGGCGGTCCGGCCAAATCAAGTTGGTCGCTGACATGATCGACGTCGATGGCAACTCGCTGGCGCCCGCTGTTGTGAGAAGCCGCGGCGGTCCGCCGGTGCGTCGGAGCAAACGGCAGATCGAGCCGACTGATACCGCCTCGAGGCTCAAAAAGGTGAAGCTGGAGCTGAAGGAGAGCGTGCATCGGTATGGCGAGCTAGTGGGGCAGGGCCAGGAGTTCAGCAAGGCGCACGGGACAGTCTTTAGCCAGCTCAGGGAGTGCTTCCCCCCGGGGGCAGCCTCGCCGGTGACTTGGCGTGCGCTCGGCGAGATTGATCTGGGCAA